GATCATAAAAACAAGAAGTGTGTAAATTCTGAACCACATGCTAAAACATGTCTGATGTTGAGCAGCCTAACACATTCTCTTGACCAGAAGATGTGATTACATTGATATTGTCTTCAGTTCAAGTTTACGAAAAGCCTTGCCATCCTGTCCCAGAGAGTACTGTAAATTCACAAATGTGTCCCTCCTTCTGAAGGATTGAAAATTCCTCCAGAGTTTTCTGTCCATCAGTACATGTTCTCAGTGTTCATCCTGAGTTGTGTTATTTGTTTGTAGTGCTTTTCAGTGTTTACTTGGCTGCCCTATGTTTTAGGAAGAAATCCACTTTCAGAAGAAGTGACTTCGTACCCTCTGTGGGTGTTTACTTTCTTTATTACCTTAAGAATTTTCAAGTAGGAATAGATTAGGAGAATATATATTTGTGCAAAGAACATGGAGGGGAAAGAATTAACTAATTTTTAAATTGTTTGAAATCAGGGGACTGCTGGGCTGGATCTATTGGGGTTTTTCAAATTGTTCCTGTACTGAATGAGCCAAAGCACTGAGTAGTATTTCTTTCTGATAGAGATGTTGAAAACAGCTTAGTTTTTCTGAGTGTAAATAGCAAGGACTAATGCTCTTAGAATTGCCTGTAAAATCTAGAAATGTCTGCAGGCTGTTGTGAACAATTCTGTCTCTTTATGGAGAGTTGTTTGGGCTTTTTAGAAACTCATTAAATTGATTGTGAGTGCCTGAGTGTTATCAGGAAAAGGAGCTTTAGAAAATGGTTTCAGAATGTGTCATTTTCTCCTTGGTTTAATCTGAGATAGTGTGTGGGCATGCTGGTATTTTAAAAGGCTAAAAATGTACATAATGCTGTACCTTCCAATATGAACTAGGATTGCAAACAGAGAAGAGTTTTCTTAAGTCTTCTGTCTGAAATTCTGCTTTTCTTCCAATTAGTTAATTCTTGGATTTTTAGCGAGGATTCTTTCATCCTTTTTTTAATCTTCAATTTGTTGTTGGCATTCAGCACAAACAAATTTTGAAAAGCCATGGCAGCTTTCTATCATTTTGGATCTGAATATTTAATGTTTCATCAAATAAAACCCTGTGTTTTCATTTTAACTAGTTTCATTATTTTTTTTAATGAAATGATTTGTGGTAGAAGACTGCTATTTGGTTTCAATATTAATATATAAGATGAACTACGTGGGTGTCATTTATTTTCAGTAGTAAATAACTGCTTAACCGATTCTTTTCCTTTAGCATAATTCAACTGACTCCTTTAGAAATTTGCTCTTCACTTTCACACAACATTTGATGTGTGTGGATGAAAAATAAAAATTCCATGTTGTATCATTAAAAGCACCTTTCGTGGTGTCATGTGGTCAGAATCAGGGAATGTCATGTAGTTAGTTTCAAAATCCAATCTGTAGGTTAATCATTAATTATTCTTGTTTCCAGGAAACTCTACTTAGGTTATTTCAGAATTTGAATTTGCTAGAATTCTTGTTTTTAATCTTTTATGTGTGTGTGTCATTGTAACCTGAAAAAGGGGTTAATTTAGCAAGATTAGGTACCTTTTCTGTTTGTATTGTGGCTTCTTCAATTACTCATAAACTATTTAGTAGCTAAAATGTTGAAAGCAGTTTGGGAACAAAATGTCTGCTTCAACCATGATAAAATTGGCCACAGTTTGCCGATTGGGCAGATAACAAAAGCCAGCAACACAAAATAGGTAGAAAAACAGTTTGTTCGCTGATGTGAGACCACTGCAGGGCTTTTTGCATGTTTTTTTTTTCATTCTGATGTTTATGTTGTGCGGGCAGAACGTGGAGAGAGGTTTTTGCTTACCCCTCATTCTGATGAACCATTTCAGCTAGTGGATTTCTTTTAAAACTTCAGAAAATAAGCTGCTCCCCTGGCATCTGAGACACATTTGAGTTAAAATCCAGCTTTGCACCTAAACCCCACGTTTCATCCGGGCTCCACCTGCTTGTAAATGTCTCGAAGCTCATAATTGGATCTTTTCAAGCAGCACTGTAAATTCCCTTTTTTCAGGACCCAACGTGGAAATATAGGGCTGTGACTGCATTTTTGCAAGTGTAAAACAAAAATGATAGTTTGCAGTTTAAAAAAAAATTCCCTATCCGAGCCTACAGTGGACAAAAGTTTTAACAACTGAAAGTACACCTTGCCTCTCATGTGGTCGTCACAGACTGTAAACAAATATTAATGTTTTACATGAGACAATACATTTTTTCAAGTGATAGGACGAGATATCCTCTCTCTCCTCTCTGTTGTTCTGAATTCTCATGCCTTGAGTGTGTGTCTGATGGTCTTTTTCTTTTTGTTCTTTTTTTTTTTGTTCTAAAAATCAGATACTCCAGGGCATTAATTAGGATGAGGTTTATGTTTTTACTTATCTAATCTTTGTTTTCACAAATAAATACAAATAACTCAAACTGAAACTTGATGGCTTTGGTGATAATAAAGTAGCAGCCACGGGGAAATTTTCTTCATTTTAATGTTCTTTCACAACCCACATTCAGTTTCGGTAGGAAAATTATTAACCTTTTCAACAGCATGCTAAAACATAGGTTCATAATAGACGCCTGAGTATGATTTGCAGGTTTTGGTTCTATTTTGAGATTTTTTGGTGTGCAGAGTTTTTTCTTTTTCTTTCTGTCTTTCTTTTTTAAATGGCTTTCTTTGACAGCGATAGTCATGACTTGGAGTCCTTTCGTTGGTATCTTTTCAGTGTGGGTCCATTTTAGAACATTCGTATTTATTTTTTATGGTGGGAAGGGAAGATTCCTATTTCCTATCCTCCTACTGTTTTGTGCTGTGAAAGAGGAAATGTTCTTTAGTCTCATTGTTTTCCCTCATTTGAATTCTTGGGTGGACATTGTGAATCCCATGCCCCCATTTCAAAAAAATCCATTTGAGCCACATTTCAGCGAGGGCGGATGGCTCTGGGTTAGGCATCTGACTGGACTCCTATCTGCCTTGGGTGGCCTCGTGTCAGTACCCATCAGACCAAAGCACGTCGGGCCTTTTTGGACTTGTGGTCCTGAAGGTCTGCACAGCCACCAGCTTGGATGGAAGGCCTGGGATGGTGGGGTCTCCCTAGCTGACTGCTGCTAGGAAAGGGCGTGGGGGGAGGTGATCATGATCTGGTAACTCCTGTGTCTTGACCTGAAACACACAAGGGGTGGAACGTCGGGTGGGAGAGGCCGGCGCGTGGGATGCTCTCGGAGAGCAGTTTCCATTTTAGGTGTCTTCTTCCCCAAGTCTGGCTGGGACAGTCACACCTGCAGGGAGGGCCCTGGATGAGACATCGTCCTACCCCACGCACACTGCCCTGTGTCTGATAAGGCTGTGCCTTGTGACTCACGGTCCCCTTCTTTGTTGCGTCCCCATGGTTTGTAAGTCCCCACCCTCCCCTGGTGCCCTACCCTACCTGTTCCCACAGCCCCTGCAAAGTGGGAATGGAAACTGAGGAGCCCTCATCTTGTCTGTATCCAGTGCCACTTTCAGTGTCATAGCCTGCGTTTGTGTTTTTCTTCTTCTTCTTCTCATACTTCCTGTATGAGGTTCGTTTTTTTTAAAATGATAAACAAACTCTTTTTTTTTAACCTTTTTTTTTTTTGACCTGGTCATGTGTTGCCTCCTACCTGTCCAGTTGTGAGCCTTTGGCTGGCGCTGCCCACCTGAACATCATCAGGTGTCGATGTGAGCAGGGCCCCAGAGCAGAGTGGGCTCTGCTCCCCTCTCCTCCCAGGGTGGCAGTCAGGAGGGTCAAGCTGGTGGAGACATTTTCTAGTCTCCTATTTGAGAGAAATGCCAGTAGACAGCTGGCTCGAGATTTCTCCTCAGGCAAAGAGAGCAGGGGAGAGGAAGGCTACAGTGTGGGAGGGTGGGGCTTGGCCAGGAAAGAAATGTGATGCGGAGGGGAAGTCCCGGGTGCAGGTGTAGTATCCCATGGTGCCTGCCCCACACTATACAGATGAGCAGCAACTGGAAAAGGGGATTGAGGGATGAATCATACCAACATTTGTCCCGAGGTCACCCCGAGAACATGTTGAAAGTCTCAGATGGTTTCTGGGCCGCTGGCTTCTTCCTCCCACTCTGGGGATCCTGGGACAGAGCCATCCAGTGAGGAGCTTGGGTACAGTTGACCAAACTGAGAACATCAGTAGATGGCCAACCGGCAGTCACCGCGGTCACAGGGACTTAGCCCGCGGCCCAGGTATCGCTCACTACTGGTGATGCTTGGGCGTGCGTCAGAATCACTTGAGGGCTTATGAAAACAGACATCCCTGGGTCTCATCGCCAGAGTTTCCAATTCAGAAGGTCTGGGGCACACCTTAAAAATTTGCATTTCTGAAAATTCTCAGCTGATGCTGCGGATCCAGAGATCCACACTGAGGACCACTGGTTAGGGCCGTGGGCCGTGGGTGACTGGAAAACCTAGAAGCCTGTAGATTGCCTCCATTTTCCCTCTAATCCTGAGCTGCTCTTCGTGTGTTCTAGACCAACCTTAGAGGTAAAACCAGCCTTTCAGAAAGCCCTTTGCATCTCTTAGTAATGGTATAGCAAGGTTCCCTGTAATTTTGACCTTTTACAATGTCAACCAGACTATAGATCTGCTAAAATGTTTTTGAGGTTTAGTTCTTTGAAAAGTAGGTTTTCTTTTATGGATAGAGAAAGTGACCAAGGTGAGGGGGACGGTACTGACTAGATCAGGAAAGAATCCAGGGAGGCCCAGCCCTTGGGTTGCCCACTCTTATCTCCATTAGTGGAAACCTTTAGTATGAACAGAGGGAGGTATTTTGTGGGTCTCTCTCGGTACCAAAAGGTGGGCAAACTTCTGAGATCGTCAGGCGCTCAGGGTATTTGAATCACCTGTGAGATCCTGTTCATCCCAGAAGGTGGCAGAGTGTGAAGGTCAGGATGCTGGACTGGAGGCTGGGTGCTACCCTGTACTGGCTGGTGGTTGAACATCCCCTGCCCCCCAGGTGAGAGCGATTCTCCTAAAGCAGCAACCTGAGAGGGCGGATGCTTAAAGGAGAGCACACATCTGGAGCAGTATCTAGCGGACGGGATGAGTTCAACACACGATAGCCAAGAGGACCCGGCGGCCAAGAGGACCCGGCTGTGTTCGGGGCAGCCCTGGGGAAGGCTCGCACTCTGCTGATGGATTAGTTAAAGACTGAAACTTTCTGAACCACGGGTAAGTCTGTAATGATGCGTGGCACACTTCGTAAAAACTGCTTCTCGGGGAGGTCCCCTCAGGAGAGGTTCTAAGTCTGCTCAGAGTTATGTGGCTTTCATGCTACAAATGGGCCCCCTCCCCAGAAGCAAAGGAAGGGGGCCCTCAAGGGTGGCTCCTCTCTCCCCTGCCCTGATGTCTCTAGTAGCACAAAAACTTAATCTTTCACATACGGGATCCGTATCACTCATCCCTAAAATTAGTCTTAAAAAGCGATGACATTTTCTGAGCATGTCCTCTAGGTTTTAACTTTCTGAGACATAAAAGCCAAGGACTCCTGAGAGCGAACACCTTGGTGTTGTCTACCGGGTCCCACCCTCCTGGCAACTGTTTCAAAAACTCAAAAAATGTGGCTTCCAAGCCTGTCCGAATCCAACGCGAGTCAGCGCGAACAGGATGTGAGCGCCTGGCCGGTTGTTTTCCCAAGCGTTGACGGAACCCTTGATGCACAGCGGGCCCGAGTGTGTGTTTTGCACACGGGTGGCTGGGGGCTCTGGGCTGGCTTTTCGGCACTGAGGTATTGGCAGTGTCGTGGATGTTACAGCATACTGAAGCTTGTGCTCCTTGCTTCCCACACCCCTGCCCTGGTACCTACTGCCTGGGAAATAGAAGTTTGGATGGAATCAAGGGCAAATGCCCTGACAGGTGACCCATCCAGTCCAGGGATGGGCATCTGAGATGCTGTCTCTCTCCCCTTCTCAGTGTCCCAGGCTAGAAGCCTTTCCTCTGCCATTAGGAACCAAAAGGGTGTGATCTGGGAGCTGACTCTGGGAGCATCCAGGAGATTGCCTGGGCTGCATCTCAGGCCCCTGATGAGGACTCATATTCACGGTGTGATGTACGTGACCCTGAGGCCATCCCTCGGATCTGAGGGAAAGCGGAGCTGGGTACCCACAGTGGGGAGACCTACTGGAGACCCCTGAATGCTACAGACCTGCAGAAACAGCACAGCTCAGACAAGCTGGGAGTAAGAATAAGGAAGTAACGTGTGACCAGAAGATTCTCTAGGAATGTCCTGACCCAGGGGAGGCGCTGGTGGTCTCCACCCCCTCCCAATGTCTGCTGGCATAAGGGAAGCCAGATGTGCGATCAGCTCTGAATTGGGGGCAGATCTTTTAGAGTTCCTGAATGTTCCGTCTTGGGTTTCTTCAGTGTTAACCAGACAGCCAGGTCAACGTGAAGTCACTCAGGATTTGACTTAGGTGTGCAAAAGCTCACACACAAATTAGCTCAGGTCTTACAGTGGGAAGCTGCAATTCAGAATCTAGGGACGAAGGTAGGAGAGACTCGGGTCTCGGTCCCAGCAATGTCTTTTCCAGTGTGACCTTAGGAAGATTGCTGACTTCCTTGCTCTGTGTGCTTGTAAAATGCAGGTTGACCAGATGATCCTTCCAGCCCTGCCACCTCTCACTCTGTGATCCCGGTCCAAGCCCACGTGGTTGGGTCCATACCGAATCCTGCCCGGGCTCTTGCACTTTGGTTTTTTCCTCCCCACTCAGAAGTAGGGTAACTGGAAAGGAGCGTAGGTTCCTAAGCTGTCTATTTCAAACTAAAGGAACAAGGTCGCCCCTTCCACCCATGTCAGCCACTGATGCATTTCTTAGTTCCTGTTTCTCTTTGCCCACCCAGGAAGGCACTGCGTATAAAATCTTGGGCCCATATTCGGATATCGTCACATTAGAAAATGCTAGCTCATAGAACACACGTCAGGAAACTGGTTTTCCCAGCAGGCTCATTTGAGCAGTGTTCTCCCCAGAACGCTAGCGACCACACAGCCAGGCTCATCCTCTCTCAGAAAGGCCAGTATTTCACTGCCACTAGGATAGGAGGCCTCTGAGAAAAAAAATAACAAAGGCTGCGGGAGTCTGTGTGCTTCAGCTAACTCATACGTGGAGGGCATTTGGGGAAGATATTGAGGGAAAACAATACAGAGTTTCAAGAAATAAATGCAGACTGTCACAACTGTCGTGTGAGTGTCAGGACGGCAAGGACTCAATCAAAGAGAAGCTTTGCTGTCTGCTGCCCTGTGGAACGCTGCGGGCAGAGGTTCCTGGGTAAGAGCGTTTCCACTCCACATATGTATGGGAAGCACACAAGAAACTAATGTAAACGGCTTTCTTTATTTCCTAACTTCTCAGGGTCTTCCGTATGTTACTGTGCATTGCGAGTGAATGTCTCCCGGAAGGATGGAGCTTTTCCAGAATCACGCAGCCCCTCCCACCCCAACCTTTTTGCAAATAATTTTGTGCCATTAACGAAAGTCAGGAAATGGAGAGGGGCCAGGGCAGCTGGCTTTCCCCGTGAACTCAGGGCTGCATCTCGGGCAGATTGCACGTGGAGGGGATTGCAGGGTCCTCAGGGAAGCTCTGAGCTGTCATGGGCAGAGCCCATTTCTTCTCTGACCATCAGTAGTGGCTGGTCAGAGAACATGGCTGGGAATAGCAGGCAGGCGTGGATTTGACCTTGCTCCCATGGCAATGCTGTCTCCACCCCTCTCTTCCTACTCCAAGCATCTGAGCGGCAGATTTAAGCACAAAGCCGGCCTTTGGGGGAGGTGGCACCATTCGTATTTATGAATCAAGCAATCCTTCTGTCAGTCTCTCGAAGTATCCCTTCATTTGCTTGGGAGAACTAAGAATGAGATTCCGCAAACGATGTGCTGCTCGGGAGCTGGTCTCAAGTGGCAAAGGCAGTTTTTAATAGAATCATAGGTTTGGGAGCTGTTCTCAACCCTGTGCTGTCCTCAGGGTCTTTGCTTGGTCAGGGTCCCCCCTCTTACCATCTCTCCTTCCCTCCACCTCGCTGAGGCTGCTTGGTACAAGCTTGTCTGATCACGATGCTGTGATGTCCTTGGGAGCCCAGCTCTCTTGGATGGGAAGAGGAGAGGGGACCAGAGGTTCAGCCACCATCCCCCTCCTCCATCCTCGTTGGACCGCAGTTCCACGGTGACCTCTTTTAAGTCTCTTTGGACCCCTGGGGAGAGGTGTTCAGGACATCACCTGGGCAAACACCAGAGTTGTCCTGAGAGTCCTATGTGACTTCAGCTAGACCAACAGGAGCACCTAGGGGAAGGGCCTCAGTGTGCCCCAGGCTTAGACCTGGACCCGGAGGGGCAGAACTGACTTCAACTTTTCAGTAAACAGGCAGTGGGCTTCTGGGAACATCTGCCTTCACAGTGTCTTGTGAATTATTTTTAAACCGATGCCCCGCCCCCCATCCCCACCGCAATCTTTGTTGATTATCACTGTTTGAATAGATGCTGATAATTTGATTCCCCATCTTACTGTGGCATTTAAGATCTGTCTTTCCCTTTTCGGTTTCCATGTACTGGAGTGACTGTGTCTCAATGCGGTTGGCAGTGACCTGTGTTTTTCGTGCATGTTTTTGTTTCAGAATAACTGGGAGATTAAACAGGAAGCTTTATGACACACTTGCTCGAAAATGACACAGGCGCCGAAAAACCAGGACTCAGCCCCCTGCAGCACCTCTACCTGCTGCCCACGGCCGAGTGCAGGGGAAGGGCTGGCCCTGGGACCTGACTCCATCTGCCTTGGACTCTAAGGGCCTCCACATTCCGTGATGATGTCTCCGCGATATTGTGGTTAGGGTCTAGTCTGGCCAGTCTCTGTGTGTCTTCATCCCTTTTCCTTCATTAAAAGCATAACTAAAGAAAAATGGATTGTTTGCTTATTAGTTATGTTTAAATATTGATAGAAAGGTTACCAGATAACATTTGAGATGCGTTTCTCTAGGACCACAGGGCAACGCTGCCGTAACCACACAGATCATTATGACAGCGTCTAGAAGAAGCGTGTTGAACTTGAATCACTTATTACTCAGACGTATATCTGGGTCACAGCCCAAAGGTCCCCAACTCTGAGGGGTCTCTCTGACCACCTGTCCTGAGAGACCCGCCCCCCCCCCCCCCAGTTATCCTGTTTTTTCACTTATTCATTAGCTGTCACCCTTCACCTGCCCCTCAGATTTCAGCTCTATAAAGGCAGGTTCTAGTCTGTCTTATCCCTCAGTCTGTCCCCAGCACCTGACACTCCGCTCACTGATGATGTGTTGACCGGATCCATTATCTTCCTGCTTCTCAGAGCAACGATGTGAAGCTGAGCAGCCCAGTATCCTAACCACAGTTGGGTGGATGAGGAAGTTGCCAGTCCCTTTACTCTGATGAGCTAAGGAGGTAAACAGAGTAGCCTCGGAGAGGACCCAGGCTTTCTGCCGGCCACCGCCCAGCAGGAAAGTTTGATCGTGAGCTTTCTGCCCTCTGACTATTCAGATTCTCATCTGAAACCAAGCTTTGCATTGCTAATAAACATCCTTCAGTTACATTGTGTTTGCTTACGTTCCGGGAGATGACAGGTGACCATGTAGCAGAGGCATGTGTCCTCCGAGGAGTGTCTGGAGGACACAGGGCTCTCAGCCTTGCCTCGGATGAATCACCAGACTTCTCTGGACGCTAATTTCCTTCGCAGAACGCTAGGAAGACCAGATGAAACGATGCCCAAGATCCCACCCTGCTCTGAGATTCTTTTCTTCCACCTCTGCTGGTTCCATCTCTCTGGGTTCTAGAAGAGGAGGAAACGGTGCAGAAAAGTATCACAGGGCAGCAGAGACAAAGACCCCGAGAGTGTCAGGAACCCAGGCCCAGTCGTGAGTTTGTGGACGTGCCCTGTGGGTAGATGTTTGAAGTAATGGTTCTGAACCCAGGTCAGACATTAAAATTACTCAGGAGTTTTAAAAAATCCAAATGCCCAGGTTCCACCAGGACTAATCACACCAGAATCTGGTTGAGGGGAGGGCGGGGGACAGGCACAGACATCAGTGTTTTTTAAACCTCCCCGGGTAAGTCCATCGTTTAGCCAAGGTTGAGAACTGCTGGTCTAGGGTTTTATTGTCCACTATGGTAGCCACTGGCCACAAGTATTTATTGAAAACTTAAAATGGGGCTG